TTCTCAAGTTTTTAATGAACATTTATATATTTTAAGAAAACAAAATTAAATGTATTATTGAGCATATTGCCCTCAACTTGAGCTCCAGGGAAAAAAAAATATGCCGGTACAACATCCAAATATGCAAGGAGAACAAGGAAATTGAACTGGTCAATGGAAAGGTAAATAAGTTATATTATATGCGACTTTCCTTTCTCGATGCTAGCTATAAATATGACAAAAAAATTATCTAATTCATCCAATTCTCGCTCCCATTCAGACACCCCCCAAAAAAAAAAATAATAAAAGTAAAAGAAAACAAGCCATGAAGTGCCTTAAGTTCTTCGCCATCCTTATACTGACTCTTCTCTTTGCTGCTGGTAAATTTTCTCTTGTTAATCCTTTATCTTCTCAAAAATTAATGCTTCTTTTGCCGACATTTGAACTCTCAATGTAATATGGTTTCAGGAACAACCAAAGTAATGCACAAGGAAAGGTTTGTGTCAGCACATAGAATAGTAACAGTTTGACAAAGGATAGCTGCAACAACTTCTGTCATGGCAAGTTCGCCCCTGGAACAGGATCTCTATGTAGTGGTGTCAACAACATTTTATTTAGAGTTGCTTAGTTAATAGGCTACTTAAACCTCTATATAAAAGGTTTTTATGCAATATTTTCGTATCATTCAATAATATTTCAATGTGCCTTTCCTTCAGTTTTCTCTTCTCTCTTTTCCATACTTTAATTTCTTCTAAAAGATATTATAGCCATAAGCTTCACAGCATATGGTACTGAATTTGTTTTTACTTCCGCACAGTTCTTGTTTCTTTTACTTGTTTGCAAATTTCCTTTTCAATATTATAAAAGAAAAGGCATATTTTCCCTTTCAATAAAAAAAAGGGCATTCTCTTTTAGTTTTTCTTTCACTTCCACAATCATTTTTGGTTTTATTTTCATTTTTAACGACTTTCATTATTATTAGTATCTCTTAATTTCAGTTAATAAAAAATGAACTCACTTGATTTGATTGTTAAACTCTTATTGCTTTGTTTGGGAATGTGAATTTTGTTATTCTTGATGTTGATGATTTGAAAATCAAATGTGAATTGGAATTATATTATTTATTGAATTGATTGGAAGTTGATTTACTTGTGAATATATGATTTATTCTTAGTAATATTGAATTAATTTTAAATATTAAGTTTTGAACGTGTTTCTTTTTAGGTAAAAATTCATTTAATTGCATGATTATATTTTCTTATTGTGGGGAGTCAAAAATAGAAAGTGCATTATGCAATTGACCTACTAAAGTTCCAACTCCTAAAAGCAGTTTCTAACCCCTTGTGCTGGAACATTAATTTACCTACTATATTTAGAATATATTCATTCCAAAAAGGAGTTCTAATGGTAAAACACACAGATTGAGTATTTTCAAGCTATAAAACCAGATTTGGAAGAGTGGAGAAGTACGAAGAATAGAGCCTTCAAAGTTGAAAAATCAAAAGTAATTAAGTTTCTACTTTGTGCTTTATGAAATCTCTTATTTTCTTGTTCTCTTTCATTATAACAAGTGAAAGAGAGATTGGGGAAACCTTGTTACATCTACTAATCCATCCTTGAGGTGTAGGAAGGGTTGAGAGATTTGTAACAAAAGGATTAAACGGTTCAATAGCACATATAAGCAATTGGGTAACCTTTTTAGATCGAGAAAACCATCCTTATGGGATAAGTTTGGGTTTGTCAAAGATTGTAATAAGGGGTTGAATTGTTGAAGGTGGATAGCACTGACAAAATTATTGCAAACGGTTACCTCTACACCCGAAATTAGAGGAGAGATTTTGAATCTAAAACTAACTCTCAAGCAAACGGTTTGAGGAGTGGACCAAGCACAAATTGTGACCGAATCACTATAAATCCTTGTGTTTGAGTTTTCTCTTCCGTTAACTTTTAATTGCTACACTTGAAATTAGTTATTTGCAATTGCTTGTGCTTGGTCATTTTTTGTTTTTGAAAGTTGCATAAAATCTTTAAAAACACAATTCACCCCCGTCTTGGGTTGCCATCTAGGCCAACAAAATTGAAAGGGTGTATTTGAATTTGAGATTATAAAATCAAATACACTGTTTGTTTTTACAAAATATGAGTGCATTTGAATTTTGATTTAAATATATGTATTTTATCCTATGTATTTTAAAGATTAAATAGCATGTATTTTAAAAACC